AGTGCCCAGGAAAGAGTTAAGGGCAGAGAGAGCTGGGGCAGGGACTGCTCTTTTTTTGACTGTTTCTAATGATACTCGCCTCAATATTTCTAAATAGCATATTTAATTTTCAAATGCGTCAGGTATTTTCCTAGTTTTACTGTTTTCCCTGGGATATTCCTCCTGGCCTTCTCTTCTCCTCCAGGCTACCCTGGTGGTTCCCGAGCCCCAGAGCACAGCTATTGTCCTGGGACTACTCTTCACTGTCACCTTCAGAATCCTCCTTGTCTGTCTCCTGTGTTGCCCATGCTTCTCAGATCCCATGTCTTCCTCCTTCTCAATTTACAATTTACTCTCTCATCTTGGTGGAACACAGTTTTCAGTAGTTTTCTGAATTTTTTGAGCATTTGCATGTCTGTACATGTCTTTATTCTGCCCTCGCAGTTGATAGATAGTTTGACTAGGTATCAGTCAGGATGGGCTACGTTATGCTGAGTAACAAACAACTCTAAAATCTCAGTGGCTCAAAGCACTAAAGCTTTTTTTTTTTTTTTTCTTTTGAAACAGGATCTTGCTTTGTCACCCAGGCTGGAGTGTAGTGGTGTCATCATAGCTCACTGCAACTTTGAACTCCTGGGCTCAAGCAATCCTCCTGCCTCAGCCTCCCAGGTAGCTGGGACTACAGGCATGAGCAACCATGCCCGACTAACTTTTTTTCTATATATTTTTAGTTGTATGATTAATTTCTTTCTATTTTTAGTAGAGACGGGGTCTCGCTCTTGCTCAGGCTGGTTTCGAACTCCTGAGCTCAAACAATCCGCCCACCTCGGCCTCCCAGAGAGCTAGGATTACAGGCGTGAGCCACCGCGCCCGGCCTGCCCTATTTATTTTTTGAGACAGAGTCTCACTTTCTCACCCTGGGTAGAGTGCCATGGCATCATCCTAGCTCACAGCAACCTCAAACTCCTGGGCTTGAGTGATCCTCCTGCCTCAGCCTCCCTAGTAGCTGGGACTACAGGCTTGTGCCACCACGCCTGGCTAATTTTTCTATTTTTAGTAGAGATAGGGTCTTGCTCTTGCTCAGACTGGTCTCAAACTCCTGACCTCAAGCGATCCTCCTGCCTCATCCTTGCAGAGTGCTAGGATTACAGGTGTAAGCCATTGCACCTGGCCTTCATTCCTTTTTATGGATGAATAAATCCACTGTATAGATAAACTACATTTTGTTTATCCATCATTTAATGGACATCTGGGGTGTTTCCACATTTTGGCTATTATGAATAAAGCTGCTCTGAACATTCATTTACTTGTTTGTGTGTGTGTGTATACATATATATATGCGCGTGCGTGTGTGTGTGTGTTTCAGTTCTCTTGGGTATAAACTTAAGAGTAGCGTTGCTGGGTCATATGCTAACTCCATGTTTAACTTTCTGAGGAACTGCCAGACTATTTTCCAAAGTGGCTGCACCCTTTTACAATCTCACTACAATGACTGAGTGTTTTTATTTCTCCACATATTTGCTAACACTTTTTAGCATTTGCTTTTTTGTTGTCATTGTTGGCTTTTTAGCTATCCTAGTGGATGTGAAGTGGTAGAGATTTATTTTTCATCTTGAACCATATCCCTTTCTCTCTTGTCTTGTGTCTCCTGGTGTCCTGCTGCCAGTCAGTCAACCAAATAATCCATCATCCATCAGTCAACACTCGAACAATTACCTGTATCTCAGGCTATGTTCTCTGGAGGATACAAAGAAGGTTAATGTCCCTGACTTTAAGGATCTACTCTCTCTACACAAAACACATAGGAAAGTTAACAGCACAAAACAATCTAGGGTCAGTATCAAAATTCTTTTTTTTTTTTTTTTTGAGACTGAGTCTCACTGTGTTGCTTGGGGTGGAGTGCCATGGTGTCATCCTAGCTCACAGCAACCTCAAACTCCTGGGCTCAAGCAATCCTTCTGCCTCAGCCTCCCGAGTAGCTGGAACTACAGGCATGCGCCACCATGCCCGGCTAGTTTTTTCTATGTATTTTTAGTTGTCCGATTAATTTCTTTCTATTTTTAGTAGAGACGGGGTCTCGCTCTTGCTCAGGCTGGTTTCGAACTCCTGAGGTCAAACAATCCGCCCACCTCGGCCTCCCAGAGAGCTAGGATTACAGGTGTGAGCCACCGTGCCCGGCCAGTATCAAAATTCTTAATGGGAGATATCTAAAGCCTTGCAAGCTCTGGCTTCTGCCTATTTGTCCAACTTTGTCTCTCTCCACTCCACTGCTTGGGCAGTAGTTCTGCCTTTGCTACTTACTAGCTGTGTGACCTCGGGAAAAATACTTTACCTCACTGGATATGACTATAATAGGACCTAGCATATAGAGTCTTTGAGAGGATTAAATGAAGTAAGTCATTTAGAACTTGTTTGACATTCTCTAAATGCTAACCCTTATTATCAGAATTATAAATTAAACAATTACTTATGCACACTAAAAAGTATGTCTTATCAGTGCTGTGTCCTCAGCACCTGGCACATTGCTTATCACATAGCAGGAATTTAAGAAATATTTGTGAATGAATGAATGAAGGCGAAATGTGTGCTATAGGATAGGCATTATAGAGAAGAGATGGCCAACTGTAATCAATTGATAGTGACAGCCTGTAGTGAGTGTGGAGAAAACGATTTTGAAGTTGTATCTGGGTTCCAAAGTAGAGTGAACTGTGATTGATTAATCATGTCTGTCATGGGCACAGGGGAAAAATAATGTAGCACAAGCCCTAAGGGTTTGCCATCCCTACCGCAGAGAAGGCTCACTGTAGTGCTGGACACAGCCCAGAATTGTGAAGTGACCACAATTTGCCTCCTTTCTCTCCACTACCCACCTCCTCCCACTTTCCTCTGGGTACTCAGGGCCCCACGTGGCTTTGCACAGGTCTTACTGGAGCACTGAGTGTCTTTCTGTGGGCTGGTCTCTTCACCGTATTTCCATCAGCATCAGTCAGTTGTCTCACTCCTGCCTGACAAGACAACCCAAATGAACCAGTCTGCTAATCACCCGAGAATAGTAGGACTTGATCCCTGATTGTATCTTCCATCTCAGGGACATGGCATTTAAATCTTAGGAAATATGTGAGAGTGTGGGTTTGGCATGTAGGGGTTGGGGGATGAATCAAATGCCATATAGGCCCAAGAGGTAGATAGGGTAAAGCTGGCCAGAGTGAGGGCACATGCAGACGCTATGTCTGCCACACTGGACAGTCAGTCCAGTGCTGCCACAGACTCCGATTTTTCAAAGAGATTTGGAAATCTGGATTCTTACATGAAATCTCTCAACTTATAATGTTTGTAACTACTAAATAAAATTACAAGAAAGTAATTTGCCAGCCAAAGAAAATGGCATTACAGGCCAGGCATGGTGGTGCACACCTGTAATCCCAGAACTTTGGGAGGCTGAGGTAGGAGGCTGAGGTGGGAGCCCAGGAGTTCATGGTTAGAATAAGCTATGATCATGCCATTGCACTCCAGCCTGGGTGACAGAGTGAGACCCTGTCTCAAAAAACAAAAGAAAAGAAAAGAAAATAGTGTTGGGTTGTATTTTTTCCATTTGCTACCTCTACATGGGCCCTTACCATCTTTCCAATCCCTCTGTCTGCAATGCCTGGTCCCTCAGAGCCCCCAGCCTCAAGTGACTTCTTCATGACACCACCCCAATCCCTTCAGCAGGAAATCTTTCATCTTCTAGAGCACTCTGAGATCCCTCATGCTAATTACCATCTTGAAATCTATGTACTTGCCAGGTAACTGTGCACTACCCCATGCAATCTTCCAGCAACCCAGTGGGGTAGGTATTTGCATATTTAGAGATGAGGGGACACTGAGGTCATGCTTGCTGGGGTAGTACAGCCAAGTAGTCCAATACCACAAGTCTGATCTCTACCTTGAACTGCCTTCCCTTTTGTTCCTTAAACTCCTTCTCTGCAGGATCCAATGACACTTAGCAAAGCTCTGGATAAATGTTTCTTTTCTTTACTTTTTTTTCCTTTCTCCCTCCCTCCCTTCCTTCCTTCCATTTTTAGAACAGTTTTAGGTTCATAGTAACTTTTTTCTTACAGACAGGGTCTCATTCTTTGCCCAGGCTGGGATACAGTGGCACAATTATATCTCATTTTAACGCGGAACTCCTGGGCTCAAGAGATCTTCTTGCCTCAGCCTCCCAAATAGCTGGGATTATAGGCACAACTTTATTTTTAAGTTTATTTTTACTTTTACTGTGGCTGTTTCTTCTCTTTAAGAGTGAATTTTTGGCTGGGCATGGTTGCTCACGCCTGTCATCCCAGCACTTTGGGAGGCCAAGGCGGGCGGGAGGATCGCTTGAGGCCAGGAGTTCAAGACCAGCCCGGGCAACATAGTGAGACCTCATCTCCACAAAAAATTAGCCTGGCGTGGTGGCGCAGGCCTGTAGTCCTAGCTACTCAGGAGGCTGAAGCGGGAGAATTTCTTGAGCCCAGGAGCTCGAGACTGCAGTGAGTTATGGACTCACCACTGCACTCCAGCCTGGGCCACAGAGCAAGATCTTATCTCTAAAAAAAGAAAGAAAAAAAAAGTAAATTTCTAATGTATAAATTTTTTAAAAAATAAAAAAAAATATTTTTCAGTGACGTGGAAAGTAAATTCTTAATGAATAAATTCATAGGGGTTGCTCAGGCCGGGGTGGAAAGCGTGGTAAGTGACCTCCCAGACAGGGCAAAGAACCAACAGGGTGAGGGCTGCAAGAACTGGGGCTTTAGGAGCCGGCTTCGTCCTTTATCCTCTTTTTCCCTGCTGAAAATGTAGAAGCCGAAAACTCCCAGCGTCGTTGCTGACTTTCAGCCTCAGAGACTGGCGTGCGTTCTCGGCTCCCCTCTTCCCCATTAAATTGTTGAAGCTACATCCTTTCCGGGCTTTGCCGCTCACCGCCCCTCCCTTCCCCCGCCAGTGATCCGCTTCCGCGTTTTACTCGGTGTCCAGAGCTCCCGGGCGTGGAGGCGGTAACGCGCACGCGCGCAGGGGTCTGGCCCGGGCCGAGCGCGCGGCCCGACTACTGTGGTGAGAGAAGGGTCGGCCTTGGATGGGGGTGGCGGGCCGTCGGGGTCGAGGCCGCGGTTGGAGCGGGCGGGGGCCTCGGCGAAGGCTTCAGGGCTCCCGGGGCATGCGAGGACCGGGGACTGGAGCCGGCGGCCGGGGCCAGCCGCGAGCGTTGGGCCGGGGGCCGCGCCTGGGCCGTCGTGACGCGGGCGCCGAGCCCGGCCCGGGGGAGCGGGAGGCGGGAGGCGGGTGCCAGGCGGCTCCACCTAGTCGCGAACTCTCAGTGACCTTGGCCGAGTCACTTTAATCCCCTGAGCCAGCGCCTTTTTCAGTAAAATGCTAATCATAAGCCCTGCCTCCTAGATGGGCCGTTTTGAGGTTCAGTGGCGGGAACCTCTGAAGATCGCTGGAGTGGGCAGTTTGCTGGGGACTCCTCCACTTAGGGTGAGGGAGAAAGGGCTTCCTGGGGTATCATTTTGTCACGGGCTTTGCGGGGGGAAGCGCTCCTTTTTAATATCTTAAAAACTCCAGAATATTGTGAAGTAGTTGAAAAACTTTGTTTAACATGAAACGGGAGACTGGAAAGACATGGAGCCCTTGCCATGGTTAGCTTCCCTGATGCCATGCTGCCTTGCTCCTTGAGGAGTGCTCACACTTCAGCTGCCGACAGGGCTCTGTTCCCATTGTCTTCAGAGAATGGTGTGAAGCCGGACTCCCTTAACTTTTTAAGAATTCATATTGGTGATTCCTGTTGTTTGCCAAAACCCTTCCCACCCACCTATGAAATTGTGGTGCTGGCCAAGCAAGTTTAGTGTCTGTCCATGTGAGGTGTTTGTGAACCATTTAGTCAGATTTCCAGTTAGTGAATTTTTTAGAGATTGAATATGGAGCAGCTCATGGCACCATAGCCTTTTTTGATGGTAATGTGGGATCTCAGGAACCTGTCCACCATTGGCAAAAATCTGCTGTATAATGGATACTCGACGTGAATGATAGTAGGTTATAAAAATAAGCATATTAGATGGTCTAGATGGGAAGAAATTTAAAATACTGGCATTGACTTACATTGAAATTTTTCACTGCAGGTGACTAGCATGCATATACCCATCCTCTGACTTGCTGCCCCTCCACTGATATGGCCCACCGGGGTGGGGAGAGGGACTTCCAGACTTCAGCCCGGCGCATGGGCACCTCACTGCTATTCCAGCTGTCAGTGCACGAACGGGAGCTGGACCTGGTGTTTCTGGATCATAGCTATGCCAAGCCTTGGAGTGCCCACCCAGATGCCAGTAGTGCTCGCCCCACCCGCATGCTCTTTGTCACTCCTCGGCGGCAGCATGAAAGTACCATGTGAGTTTGGGCTTCTCCTAAGGGCTACTGTTGCCCTAACTGGACAGTGATCAGATAGGGATTAGAGAGGATTTTCTTGGGGAAGACTGGGGGAGATTGTATGAGGAGCTTGGATATTTAATTAGGCATCTCTTTTAAGCAGCGTGAGGATATCTGTCCTAAATGTGGGCATCTGCACATGAGACATCTTCTAACAAGAGTTAGGAAAGCAAGATGTGCAAAGGAAAGCAGACAACCTGTTCCACTTAGATAATAGGACTTGTGTGGAAAGAGGAAATTGAAGAAGACTATTGTAACTGGTGAAGAAAGAGACTGAAAAGTTGATTTTAAAAAACTGCCACACGGGATAACTTTTTTTTTTTTTGGAGACAGAGTCTTACTCTGTTGCCTGGGCTAGAGTGCAGTGGCATTAGCCTAGCTCACAGCAACCTCAAACTCCTGGGCTGAAGCGATCCTCCTGCCTCAGCCTCCCAAGTAGCTGGGACTACAGGTGTGCATTACCACGCCTGGCTAGTTTTGTCTATTTTTAGTAGAGGCGGGGTCTCTTGGTCAGGCTGGTCTCAAACTCCTGACCTCAATCGATCCTCCTGCCTCGGCCTCCCAGAGTGCTAGCATTACAGGTGTGAGCCACCATGCCCAGCCTCTAATTTCTAACCTTTCAAGATTTGTTGATACATTTTATTCTGATGATCAAATCATGCCCTTACTAATTTTATAAACTTTTGGAGAGAGGTTTTTTGGTTTGTTTTTAACCTGATCTAATGTTTACTCTTTCCTCAAGTGCAGGTTTTAGTTTTGTTGGAGGTTAGACATCTTGTATTTTGCTTCTATAGATTCCCCCATAGCCTTAATGTGTTAGAGGTACCACAGTGTGTTTTAAACACATGTGGAATAGTGATTTTTATTTCATTTCCCAATGATGTTGGCATTTTGTTGGCTTTTGGTTTTACAGGGAGCTGGATCAGTGTCTTTAGGGAATAATGTAGCATAATCTTGATGCCTCTGGCCTAGGACATAACTGAAAAGCTCCTTTAAATGGTATTGGAAATTTTTTCCTCTTTGCTATATAATAGCTTCTTGCTGATTTTGAAACTCCTGCGTCCATATGTCATGAGATTTTCTTAAAGTGAGATTCTGTGGACTTAGTTCTTTTGGTACTTAGAAAATTATTTCCTTTTATAAACCCTGTCTTTGTGTATATAGGCCCTGCAAGTGAGAATTTGGCATGTTCTAAGAACTTTTTTAGGCCAGTGTCTGGAAGATGGTGGCAGTAGGGATGTAAGTGGGAGGTAGGGAGAAGTTGGCAAAGGCTATCTCACGTAGGACTTTGATTCTAAGAGTGGTAAGAAATCATTGAAGGATTTTAAGCTATAGATCCAATTTATACATTAAAAAGATCACTTTGGATTTTTATTGAGTAGATTATAGTGTAGGTGTAGAATTTAGAAGACCAGCTAGGCAGCCATTGCAGTTGATTGAGATGGGCCATAAATTATGATAGCTTGGACAGGGATGGGAATAGTACACATAGAGATATATTTCCTAGGTAGAACCAATAGGACCTGTGCTGGTGAATTGGAAAGAGGAGCCAGGGTTAAGTGGAAAGGTAAAATTAGGATGCCTCTTAGATTTCTGGCTTGAGCAGCTGGGTTGTGCCATGAGTTAGAGAACACGGGGAGACTAGGTGTGCGGTGGTAGAATCGAGTTCTCTTTTAGGCATGGGTATCCAAGTGCCTAGCCCAACGTCTGGTGTAGTCATTGGGAATGGATGTAGTAAGATCATCGAGATCAGAAAGGTAAAGCGATATTTGGTAGATAACCAGTAGACCAGTTTGTTTGGTGTAGTATTGGTAGGTAGCCAGTAGAATAGTTTGTTTGGCGTAGTATTTTGGGTGTCAGAGTTGGTGCAATGTACCATGAAGTGGGGAAGGACCTTCAGAGCACTAGGATTTCATTAACATCATTCTAAAATAGGAAAGAACCTTCAGATGTTCATTTAAATTTGTTTTCTGTTCTAGGCTCTGTACAAAGTGAGGTAAATAGCTAAGAAGTCTGCATTCCGGGTGATCTGTGCTAGATAATCACAGGCTTTTACAAGCATATAATTAACGAGCAGTTGACTTGCTAACAAAAGGAAAAGTTTGTATGAGTAATTTAAAACTCTAGACCAGTGCTGTTCAACGGAACTCTCTGCAGTAATAGAAATGTTCTGTACCTGGGATGTCCAGTATGATAGCCAGTAGCCACATATATCTGTTGAGCAGTTGAAATGTGGCTAGTGTAACTGAGGAACTGAATGTTTAATTCTATTACTTTTATTAATTTAAATTTAATTAAATAGTCACATGTGACTTGCAGCTACTATATTGGACATCATGTGTAGGCAATCAGTGGAAATATATTTGTCTTTTAAAAAAATAGCTGTTTATCATTTTTTGTATAGACTCATTCTAAAATGACTTTATGTTAGTAAGTACTATGCACCTACCAGTATGTCAGAGAGGGCAGAGATCTAGACAAGTGTAGGTAAGATGACTTTGTATCAGAATCTTCTTGTGAATATAATGTGCTTATACATAATTTAAAGCTGACTATATTAAAGAGACATTTTTTGTAACCAGATGATTATTAAACACCTGTGTTGTGTGAAGTTATGTGTGGCCTGGTCCTATTTCCTTACCTGTTTACAGTGAATCAGACGTCCCAATAGACGTGGAGACGGTCACGTGTACCCCTGTGCCGCTCTATGACAATCAGAAGGCACGCAGCGTGATGAATGAATGTGAAAGGCATGTCATCTTCGCCAGGACTGATGCGGATGCCCCTCCCCCACCAGAGGACTGGGAGGAGCATGTTAACAGGTAGGCCACTCCTTGAGAGGATGGGTCACCGTAGGGTTAATGGTCACCATCCTATAATTATTTTTTGTATCGTCATCTTCATGGAAACACATTTATTGGGAGCTTATTTCATTTGCAGCCACACAAGTCTGAATGTTCTAACTCTCACATTGTAACTCTTAGCTCACGATTTCTGAGCTCCTTAGAGCAGGGCTTGCGTTTCAGCCATCTTTGCATCTCTGACCCTAAGACATCGATTAGCACACAGTAGGCATATAATAAATGTTTGTTGAATAAATAAATGAATTAAATTTGAGAGGTATTTCTAGTTCTGTAGCTTATATAATACAAGTTATGATACAGGGGTCACCCAGACTACAAAAATTAGATGTACATTTGTGAGATACTGTGTTTATATGGTCTGTAACTCGGATAATGAAAATGTTTTGGAGTCACATGAAAAGCTAACAGATGTTTGGCTTTTACAACAAGATTTGTAATCTGTGATTTTGAGGGCACACTTAAGCTTGTTTTCATGAGTTTGCTGTCTGGTTTTGTTCCCATGCTTCCTGCCATCCCCAGAGAACTCAGCACTCCTCTCCAAGTCGTTTGTTCCTGTTCATTTGGTAAACATTTGTTTATCTAATCACATAAGAGCTTTGTGGAGATATTTACATGGCATATAATTCACCTATTTAATGTATACACCCAATGGCTTTTAGCGTATTCAGAGTTTTACACCAATCACTACTATCAATTTGATGAACAGTTTTATCACTGCAAAAAGAAATCCCATACCCATTAACAGTCACCTCCCATTTCTCCCCATTCCTTGGGAATCACAAGTCTACCTTCTGTCTCTATGGATTTGCCTATTCTCGACATTTTGTGTAAGTGGAATCGTGTATTAATAATATGTGGTCTTTCATGACTGGCTTCTTTCACTTAGCATAATGTCTTCAAGGTTCATCCATGGCTGTAGCATGTATCGGTACTTCATTCCTTTTTATTGCCAATTAATATTCCATAGTATGGATAGCCCACATTTTATTAATTCATTTAGGACATTTAGATTGTTTCTACTTTTTGGCTATGATGAATAATGCTGCTGTGAATATTTGCATACAAGTTTTTATGTGGATCTATGTTTTCAAGTCTCTTAGCTGTATACCTAGGAGTACAGTTGCTGGATCATATGTTAACTCTATTTAACTTTGAGGAATTGCCAAACTGTTTTCCAAAGTGGCTGTATACTTTTATATTCTTACCAGCAGTGTATGAGATTTCCAGTTTCTCTACATCCTTGCTAACACTTACCAGTTTTCTTTCTTATTTTTAAATTATAACCATTCTACTGGTTTTAATTGGTATTTTCTTGATGGCTGTTTGTCTATCTATATATTATATCTACGATATGTAAGAGAATGTTATTCTGAGTTAGTAGGTGGTAAACATGCCATAATGCATAATGTTGGAGAACTCCCTTTTTATTTTGGACACAGGGTGAGTGTAATGGCATCATCATGCTCACTGCAGATTGAAACTCCTGGGCTCAAGCAATCCTTCTGTCTCAGCCTGCCAAGTAGCTGGGACTATAGGCATGAGCCACTGCACCTGCCTAATTTTCTTAGTTTTTGTGGAGATGGGATCTTGCTATTGCCTAGGCTGGTCTTAAGTTCCTGGCCTCAAGCGATCTTCCTGCCTCAGCCTCCCAAAGTACTAGGATTACAGGTGTGAGCCACTGTGCACAGCCAATAACTCTTATTTTTTAATAATGGAAGAGAGGTTGGAAGAGGGGTAGGGAAATTTGAGGTGATTGGCTTGATTTATGAGGCTGGTGGGAAGTTGGAAATGAGATGGAGTAGGTATGCTTCTGTGATCAAGACAGTAGCTGTTGAAGGAGGAACAGTTCTTGGTTGAAGAATTTGGTGGCATGTGCCTATATAGTTCCAGCTACTTGGGAGGCTGAGTTGGGAGGATCCCTTCAGCCCAGGAGTTCAAGGCCAGCTGGGCAACACAGTGAGACCCCGTCTCAAATCAATCAGTCAATAAACAAATAAACAAACAAACTTGTGAAGAATTTGGTTGGGGTTTTGAATTGGAATTAATGTAGTGCCTGAAGAAATTCTTCAGAGCTTCAGATAAAGAGGAAAACTGCTAAGATTGAAGTTCAATTACTAGAATATTGCTGGAGTCAGTGTATTCAGCTAAAGAGTTTATCACCATTGTTACAGTTAATAAAAAATAATGGTAGTAACAAAAAAAAGAACTACTATTTGTTGAGTGCTATCTAGGTGCCAGACATTGTGCCAAGCACTTCAAATGCACTCTCTCTTTTAATCCTCCCAGTAACTCTTGGAGATATATCCCTTCTTCATCTCTGTTTTATAGGATGAAGAAACTGAGCTCAGGGAGTTTAAGAAAGCTTAGTTAGGAAGTGATAGAACAGGGTTTTGTTCAAACCAAGCAGTCTGACTCTGGAGCTCAGTGTTCTGGACTACCATACCCTCTGTCTTAAGAACAATAGAAAGAGAGAAAAACCAGTTAGTGGTAGCTGAGTAAGGTGGCCTCATATGGTTATGTGTCCCTTTTCGGTATTGTCTACTGCCTGGTCCTCAGTTTGCAATTTCAGGAAGTACATGGGAGAACTGCATGATGTTTTTTGTCAGTTCACCCATAGCTGTGATAAAGAGGTCTTTGTAGGTGATTAATGCTTATGTCAAAGTGATCAGAGACTTTAACATATGAATACTGGTTTCTTAATTTATAAGGAGAGCTATAGCTGTAAAACATAAGAGACACTGGGGTGGCCTGGAGAGAGTATCTATTCTCAGGAAAGTCTGGGAAGCCATTCTAGTCCAGAAATGGAAAGGTGAGTGGAGAGTCTGCACAGGAAGCACAGCAGAATAGGTGCGTGCGCATATCTTTTCTCTAGGCAAGTTGAGGCCACAGAGTAGGCCAGAGTGCCCCTTCTCTTTAACTGTGGAGTCAGAAACTCCTTTAGAGAAATACTTGTTATCTTTGGCTTGTCTTTCTCCAGTCTCCATGTAGACCTCCATCCTTCTGTTACGATATTGCTACAGATTGATATGATTCATTAAAGCTCAGTTTATGTCAGGTTACTTGTCTTTCTAGCATCTGATGAGATTTTGGAGGCATCCTCTCATTAGCAGTAGGCTTGCAAATCATCTCTTTTGGTAGGTGACTTTTACATATGGCTAATTCCATTATTTGATGATACTTAGCTTCAGTTTCAGAGGTCATCATTTTATGACCCTATCCCTGGATCTATTGCCTGTTTCAAGCTTGCAGTTCCCTCTGCTCTGATTGTAATCATCTCGTTGCCATTCTTTCTCTTGACTTGATTGTTAAATTGTTGCTTTCTTTCTTCCTGTGTAAAGTCTTGTAAAGTTAGTTTCCCACTTTGAAAACTCCATGGACTATATAACAACTCTCTAGAACGCTAGAGTTTTTCCCTGGAGGGCTTACTGATTGCTTTTGAACTGTGGTGTCAGAAACTCAATTTCCTTGTTTGGGCTTTTTCCCCTCTCTTGAATTATTTTCAGTAGCAACTGCCTTCAGATAACTTTATGTGTATAGAAAATGAAGCCCTCCGCCTGCACCTGACTGTAGCTTTCTCTAGTAATGGCTGATATTTTGTGAAATGGTTTAAATAAATATCTCTGCCTGGTTTAATTGTCTAGATCAGTGGTTGTCTAACTGATCTCCCTATGGGCCAAATCTGGCCCATTGCTTGTTTTTGTATGGAATGGTTTTTATGTTTTTAAGTGGTTGGAAAAAAGTTAAAGGAAGAATAATATTTCATGACATGTGAAATTCAGATGTCAGTGTCCACAAATAAGGTTTTATTGGAATACAGACCATGCCCATGTTGTGGCAGAGACCATGTGACCCACAAACCCTAAAATATTTACTATCTAGCCTCTTATAGAAGAAGTTAGTTGACTGGGTCTGGATCATGTTCTCATGTCTGCATGCCATGGCTGTGTGACTTAGAGAACTTTGAAAATGTTTTATATTTGCAGGCATAGTAGTATAGTCCGGGAGATGTTGGGCCAGCTTTTTTTTTCCCTCCAGATATTTGTCAAATGCCAAATTTCATTAGATGTACAGCTTTCGAAAGACATCTAACAAAATACTCCAGATACATGATACTTCTCAGCATTGTTCAAGTGGACTTGAGGACATTTCCAGCATTTCAGTGAAAGAATGTAGTGTCCAAAGCAGGCTGTCTTATCTTAGAAATCAGAACTTCTGAATTCTAGCCAAAAAAACCCCTTTCTCCTTTTCTGAACTGTCTCTAATTATATATCTCAACGTCGTATGTATCTATGTATAAATCTTAGTTTGGATGTTTGAAATTCTAAGTCTGAGATCTTTGAGTTGTTTATTTTCCCTTCCTCCCCACCCGCTACCTACTTTCTTTCTCCTTCCTTTTTTTCTTCTAGTGTTTAGGCAAAGAATTTTATAATCTGAAAAAGAAAAGGGTGACTTAGTAAATTTCTCTGATTTTTTTCTTTGTCTTTCCCTGTTTATCTTTTGGTTAAAAGAAAAAAATCCTTTAGATATTTTAATGTTGAATTAGTCTTCCTTGAAACATCAGAGAAATGATTACCTTTGAAAATAACAGATTCTTCTAGGACCAGTGTGACATTGTGGCTGCTTTGAATAAGAGCAGAGGACAGCCTATTGTTCAGGTACATTCAGTTAGAGCATGGAGAACAAAAGATTATCTCATCTGGCCGGGCGCGGTGGCTCACGCCTGTAATCCTAGCTCTCTGGGAGGCCGAGGGGGGGGGGATTGTTTGAGCTCAGGAGTTCGAAACCAGCCTGAGCAAGAGCAAGACCCCGTCTCTACTAAAAATGGAAAGAAATTGATCGGACAACTAAAAATATATATATATAAATTAGCTGGGCAACATGGTGGCGCATGCCTGTAGTCTCAGCTACTCAGGAGGCTGAGGCAGAAGGATCACTTGAGCCTAGGAGTTTGAGGTTGC